TTTTGTGTGTGTGTGTGTGTGTGTGTTTCTTTTTGCTAGTTTGATAAAACTATCTTGCAGGGCAAGAAGGGTGCATGGATCAAACTACCAATTGAGCTTGCTAATCTTGTTGAAATTGCAGTCAAGGTAAAATGTTTTTTTTCTTATATCTGTGATATTTTAAGGTCATTGTAACATTAACATTTCATGACTTTATCTAGAATTTCCTCACCCTTGTAGTTTAATATTATTAGAGCAGAGCACGTAAACCAGAGTGTGCTTATACTTTGAGGCATATTAGCATATATATTTGTATTGTATGTGTCTCGTGTTGGGTCGATAGATTCAATGATGTTTCCTTTGCTTGGAACACAAGACATTTTCATATGGATAATGTGATTTACTCGTATTGATTCATTGTATGTTAAAGGAACATATCTAAGACATGTAGAAGAGGTGTTAATGATAGGTTGTTGATTTTGTTTTGTAGTTTTATCAGTTTAGTTAGATAATTTATTATGTTTGACGCCTGAATTCAGTCCGATAGTTCTGTACTTTTGCAGGAAGGATTTTGGTATCATCATGCAGAACCTCGGTACTTGATGCTTGCATACTGGATTCCTGAAACTAAGATTGCTATCCCCGCAAATGCTACGCACCAAGTTCGTATTGGTGCTATTGTCATGAATGATAAAAGAGAGGTATTCTGAAGTTTTCGTAACTGAGAACCCGTGGCCGTTGCTTTTTCTCATTCCATTTTTGTTGATGTTATGCATATATATTTTTTCCATGTTTTTTTCACCAGCTCATATTCACAACACTTATTTTGGATATAATTCTCTTTACAAAAACTATATTTATCTTTACTTGTTTGAGTTCACTGTGAAACTTTATGCTTCAGCTTGCTGAACAAAATTTATCGAATAGGTGTAACAATATTTTCTAAAATTTATATTTCAAGTTTGCCACATTACTTTTACAGTTGCTAGTTGTCCAGGAAAAGGTAGGCAAATTTCAGGGAACAGGTATTTGGAAGATCCCTACTGGTATTCTTGAAGAGGTATGCATATTGCCAGATGTTTTAAGTTCCAACCCGAGGTCTTATATCTCTTTAACCAGTGTGTTGAACTCTTCAATCTACAGGGCGAGGATATTTTTGCAGGTGCAACAAGAGAAGTAAAAGAAGAAACAGGAGTAAGTATTGATCATTCACAGTTTAGGTATAAACGAATATGTATAATTTAATCCTTTCCAAGGATTTTAGTCTAGTAGTTTGAGAGGTGGATATCTATTGTTGCAGATCCATACGGAATTTGTTGATGTGATAGCATTCAGGTACAAATTATTAGTTAAATATGACTAAAGGTCTATTTGGCATAATTTTTTATTTTGCTTTTACTTCCCGTAGAAAAACTTCATTACGAAGATACCTTAACTTTTGTTTTGAAACTAATTTTTAAAAGAACTTCATATTTCAAAAGTGCTTTTAGAGGAAGTCACATTGGGCAACTTCCTTTAAAAGCTCTTTTAATTAGAAGAAGCACTTTCATAAAATTAGTCAAATGGGTTTAAAAGTAGTTTTTGAGTCTCAAAAGCTCCTTTTGGTTTCTCAAAAACCATACCAAACGAGTCCTAAATATTTTCTTTCAATCTGAATTCTTT